TGATTTGTTTTAAGCTTTATTCTGACCGATTCACCCGATTCTCGATCCGGATCGCCGATTCGCCGATTCGGATCGGTTTTTTGGAAGCCCGATCCGGGTCACCGATCCGTTTTTTAAACCATTGTATATAACACAGAAACCTTCAAATTAAAAGTAGGTTATGCAATAAAAATTGTAGAACAAATAGTATCAGTAACTAGTAATCAAGAAAACTTTCAATTATTATCAAATAAAATAATACAGGCACATAAAACTAAAAATTATAATTATTTACACATAGGATTAATTCAAATAGCTATTAAACCTTTAACAAGACTAGGGTTAAACAATTCTATTCTAGTATGTTTAAGAGATAATAGACATAATAAGTTTTCTGATTCCCTATTAGGAATGATAGAATCAAGTCTATGTAGAGGACCAGCATATTTTAATTGCGTTCCAGATTATTCAATATCCTTAACTGATCATAATATATTAAAAGTATTAACATTAAATCTTAAAACCCAAGTTTTTGATATATTACCAGAATCTCAGAATATCGCTATTGTATATAGAATATATTACAAAGTAATGAATACATTATGCCCAAATGCTGTCCAAATGGATACCAGAGGAAAAACTACTCTCTTCCAAACAAATATAGAAAAATCAAATGTAACAATTCCTAACACTATACAATGGTCAGATATTAAATTACCTGAAAGCTTGGAACATAGAAAATGAAAATAATCATTTAAAAGCACCCAATAGAAATATTCCTGATAAAATAATAGAACACCAGGATGGGAGAGTAGAAATCCAATTTCCTAATCAAATAATAAGGGATGATTCAAGTATAGATTCAAGTATACTTCGTCAACATATATTATAAAAAAATAATATTGGAGAATCATCTAGACACTCTACATCAAGTAGAATGAATCCAAATCCAAAAATACAAAGTTTATTAAGAACAAAGGATAATATAGTGTAATTCCACAATATCAACCCACATTAAAAACTGAACCAGATCTTGCTGATACAGAAATGGATTTTCACATATTAACCATTACTAAACCATTATCTAAACAATGGATAGAACAAGATTATCTTTCCAAAGAAAATAAAGAAATACGAGAATGGTATTTAAAAAGATTTCAACCCAGATTAATCGAACTATTCCATAAAAGGTATAATAAGTTATATAAATAAAAAACATGTAATATAGGGTTCTTTACATGGTTAAGAAGAACATTAATGGAAAGAAAAGTTGAAGTTCTAGATTTTGAGAAAAATAAAATAACTACCATAGACAATCAATATACCACATATCAAACAATAGAAAGTATAAATATAACTAGCGTACATCCTTCAGAAAGAAGTATAATTATAACAGGACCCAGCAATAGCAAAGAAGGAGAGAGTTCACTTGTTTCTGAAACAAGAGCTACTCCCTATAAAATGACAACTGGAGAAGTTGTTCATAGAACTGAATTAATTCCACACATAATTGAACAAAATAATTATACAAACTTATATATGCAATCCATAGGAAAACAAACTATGAGAATAGAAAATATGATTAGACCAAACCCAATTCCAGAACCCAAAAAGACTCTATTATTTAAACCTCCTCATGAATTAAATAAATTCCGTATGATTGAAAACAATAAAACTTTAATGGATCAACTTATATCCAAATTAGCTGATTTAGATATAAAAGACATAAAAAGAAAATCAAA